CTTTTAGTGTCTTGTTCCCCAACATGTCTCCGTTTCCGCTTCCTCCTCGGGTATTTGGGTGTGTCTACTTCGTCCATAATCTGGGTCCCGGGACTAACAAGTTAGATGCACGATCTCTTAAGTGTATCTTCCTTGGCTATTCCCGGACTCAGAAATGGTACAAGTGTTACCATCCCAGTTCTCGTCGTTCCTTGTTATGTGCTGATGTTACTTTCTTCGAGTTTACTCCGTTCTTCGTGGGGTCCGGTGATGCTGCTTCCTCCACATCACCTCCTCCTCTTCCCCTTCTTGTGGCTGATCCTCCTCCTCTGATTCCAGTCGTGCCTACGTCCTTGCCTCCGGTGCCACCGTCCGTTGACTGTCCACCTATCCGTCACGTGTATACACATCGCCCACGTGTACCGGCTGCGACTCCTCCGGCTTCATCACCGTCGACAGACCCAGCTCCAGATCCGACACCGGCCTCCGCCCTTGATCTTCCTATTGCCTTACGGAAAGGTAAACGCACATGCACCCTTCACCCTATTTCCAATTTTGTTTCCCTTACTCACCTCTTTGCCTCCCATTGCCAGTTCATCTCTTTGTTATCCTCAGTGGTTGTTCCTAAGGATGTCCAGGAAGCCCTTACCTCTCCAGAGTGGTGCCGTGCTATGGAAGAAGAGCTCTCTGCTCTGCATCATAATCACACTTGGGACCTCACCGCTCTTYCTCCTGGGAAGCAGGCTGTCGGTTGTAAGTGGGTGTATACCGTTAAGTACTTGCCAGATGGTCGTGTTGAGCGCCTGAAGGCGCGGCTGGTTGCAAAAGGGTGCTTCCAAACCTATGGCATTGACTACACAAAGACATTGTCCCCGGTTGATAAGATAGGGTCAGTTCGTGTTGTCATCTCCCTTGCAGCTATGTATGATTGGCCTCTAYATCAACTAGATATAAAAAATGCCTTTTTGCATGGTGATTTGCTCRAGGAGGTCTACATGGAGCAACCACCAGGGTTTGTTGCTCAGGGGGAGGATGGTAAGGTATGCAGACTTAAGAGGCTAT